ATGGTCTCATACTACTCCCCCTATTAATGCTTTTCAGGTAGAATTCCTTTTTTATTTAAATTCCATTAGAAATGTAAAGAATCAAAAAGCAAGACATAATTAAAATATTTAAAAAGTATCATTTCCAGCTTTTGTAATTGTGAATTGCTCTGGCTGTGAGGTGTCTATTTTTGTAACTATTTGAATATTCTTTATACTTTTTTTTAATTTTTGGTGTTTAAATAAAAACAACAACAACAACAACAACAACAACAACAAAAAAAGACTTTGGTTTATCGGTACAAAATGGCACAGAGCCCCTGCCATTTCCGGCTGAGGAACTGCGCTCCCCAGCGCTGCTGCAGGTGACGCAGACTCAGTCCGGTCGCCCCGGTGACCCCGGAAGTAGTTCGTTGCCAGGTTCCGGACTCACTGCTTACAAGGCTGCGGATTTGAGTTGCAAGAACAGCGAATTTTTTAAAGCTTTTAAAAACACAGCAAGGAGGCGAGGAACAAAAAGGCGAAGTGATGTCGTCGGGAGGCGCTCAGAGCGGCGGGTAAGGGAGGAGACTCGCCGTGTTTCGCTTACTGGGGTCGGCACAACATGGCGGCCCCGGACAGGCGAGTTGTCTGGGAGTCGGCGGACAGAGATATTATTAGAAATGTACAAGTATTACATAGAGATGCTTGCGGCCATCGACACACGCACACGGGCTGGGAATGTAGCAGCTGCCAGACGGTCGTGTCCATCAGATCAGACAGAGTGATGTGTCGCCCTGGCTTCGTGTGGGTATTTCGGGTTTGTGGGTGTTCCGACTTCCAGAGAAAAGTTTAGGATGACCGCTCGTAGCTGATAAACCTCGCCTTCGGTGGCTGGTCCTGCGTATAAAGACTGCGCCAGATGAACTCCATTCGTTGCTATATACTAACGTAACTCCAGCTCACCCATTCGGAGGAATTCGGATAATAAAATACATCGCAGAATGCCCGGTTCTTATTGTGACGGGCATAAGCAGGGATTGGCATTATCACAGTGCAGTACATAGCAGTTTCATCCATTCCAGAAGTTACAGTCAGTCCTCCAGTATTCAGTAGTCTGATTGACAGCACTGTAAAACCTAGAGTGAGTTAGACTCCTAGTGCACAGCAGTCTGATGCTCTCCATAATGATGAAGACATCATAACTAAAATTTAGGGGGCCGCTGTGTCTGCTCGAGTTGGCTGTTAAGGAACAGTCAAGGTCAATTCAGTGCTGAAAAGTAGAAAGAAGAAGCACAGCGTTCGGGGGTTAAGGTTCCCCGGGTTCCAGCAGGCCTGCTCTCTGTCCTCTCCACAGGCGGCGCAGTAAGTGGGACCAGCCCGCCCCTGCCCTGACTCCTGGCTCCCTGGCCCAGCCGGAGATGGGCGGCGAGGGCATGAGCGCCCCCTCTGGGGCCCTCGACGCGGCCGCCGCCGTCGCTGCCAAGATCAACGCCATGCTGGTGGCCAAGGGCAAGCTGAAGCCCTCGCAGATCGGTGCCTCAGGGCCGTCGGACAAGGTGTCTCCCCCACTCAACCGCTGTGTCAGGGAGAGCGAGGGATGGGGGAGGGAGGGAGAAGGATGAGGATCAGAAGGGAGAGAAGGAGGGGGAGGGAGAAGGATGAGGAGTGAGAGAAGGATGAAGAGGGGGTGGGAGAAGGTTGAGGAGGGAGGGAGTCAGAAGTATGAGGAGGGAGGGAGTTGAGAGAAGGATGAGGAGGGGTGGAGTCGAGGAGAGAGAGAGAAGGATGAGCAGGGAGGGAGTCGAGGAGAGAGAGAAGGATGAGCAGGGAGGGAATCGGGGAGAGGGAGAAGGATGAGGAGGGGAAGGGAGAAGGGGGAGGGAGAAGGGTGAGCAGGGAGGGAATCGGGGAGAGGGAGAAGGGTGAGGAGGGAGGGGGTCGAGGAGAGGGAGAAGGATGAGGATGAGGAGGGGGAGGGAGGGGTTCAAGGAGAGAGAGAAAGATGATGATGATGATGATGAGGAGGAACAGAGTGGCGAAGGCGGCGGGGGGAGGCTCTGGCTCTGAGCTCTTGTGTGCTGTGGGCGCAGGTGACGGGCGCTGGGAAGGTGCCGACTCCGGCCAAGACGAAAGATGACCTGGTGGTGGCCGAGGTGGAGATCAACGATGTGCCGCTGACCTGCCGCAACCTGCTGACCCGCGGGCAGACCCAGGACGAGGTGAGGAGTGGGGGGTTTCTGTAGCAGGGACAGTCTAGCTCCCGGTGCACAGCAGTCTGATCCAGTCCGGGTTTTAGTGAGGTCAGTCAGACTCCCAGTGCACAGCAACCTGATCCACTCCTCGTTTCACCTGCTGAGGTGCTCTTGTACTAAAATTCTCAGATGAAGCATGAAGGCAAGTGCTGCTTGTGCTGTAAATATAGTTTGGGCTTTGTGTGTGTTGATTTCTGCCATACTGGGGCAGCAAGCAGGAACCATTCGCGTGATGTGCAGTGTAGTGAGCTGGGAGCTGTGGGTCCTCTCCCATTTGTAAACTGCCTTGGGATTCTTCAGTGTGAAAAGCACAATATAAAAAGCATAAGCTGAGTAGAATCCAGGCAATCCCACCTCTTGTAGAATTTGTGGGAAAGAACAGAGTGGCTGTTCTTGGTGGTTTCCAAATGTCAAGAGGTTGGCAGCGCAGTTGTAAACTGTCCTTTGTGGGGTTTGGGGGTTCTGACCTGCCCAGAGCCATGACTGGAGTATTTGTCTGTGGTTCAGATCAGCAGGGTGAGTGGCGCGGCTGTGTCCACCAGGGGGCGCTACATGACCTCGGAGGAGAAGGTGAAGGCAGGGCCCGGGTGAGTCTTACGTCTGCCTCTGCCTGTGATGCGCCGACCCGTCTCGCGCCATTCTTCTCCCTCTGTCTGCGTTTCCCCGCTGTTCTTCTCCTCCTTTCCGTCGTCTCCGGCTCTTTTGTTTTGCGAAGCTGCCCTGAGTGCCGGGCGTTGGCTCGGCGCCACGGGCCTGTGCTGCTCCCCTGCGCGGCTGAGTGACTGTGTGTTTTTGTCCAGGGACCGGCCACTCTACCTGCACGTGCAGGGCCAGACCAGAGACCTCGTGGACCGTGAGTACCGTTCTCTCCACCCTGGTTCTTGTCAGGGCGGGCTCCCCTGTGTGCACGAGTGCAAGGCGTGCTGGAGACGTGCAGGAGTGCAAGTCGTGTTCGAGTGCCTGTCGTGCTTGTTGTCGTGCTAGTGGTGTTACAGTGGCAAGTGTCGTGCTTGTCGTCTTGGAGTGCTAGAGTGCAGGTCATGCAAGTTGTGCTGGTTTCTGTATGTGGCGTTGTCTCTGTTGTATTCCCCCGTCCCTGTGAAAGGGCTCCCTAACATCCGTGACGCTGTGCTGGTGTTCACG